TTTTTGAAAAATTTATTTTCTAAAAATCTACCGAGCCGAATAGATTCAAATTCAAATGAAATTTAATGGCAATAGAACTCTTTCGAATGCCGTGAACCACGTTTCAATCGATCAAGACGGTCAAACGTTATAAGGAGTTTACATACAAGCACACACTACACAGACGCGCACGCACACACACATAGATACGTACGAAGGGACATCCTCATAGGAATAGTCAGAATAGCTTCTGAGGACCTCTAAACGTGAATATCTGACGAGAACTCGATATTAGAAAACCAGGGTGAAACCAGTATCTTCCCGATTTTGTGAAAATAATTGATTTTCATAGCGGGAAGTTAAAAAAACATCGATACAAAGATACATACATAGAATGTCAAGCACAGAACCATTTCTTTAAATAGCCGTAATCGGTTAAAATATAGGTTGAAAGTAACAACCCTTGGTTGTAAGCAAAACATGGCAAAGTAACCGTCATACCATGGCATCACTAGTATGGTAACTTTGCCAAGTTATTTTTATAGATAAATGTTAAGACCAATCGAGGGCTGCACTAAAAGTATCGGGAATGGAATATTTCTACTGTTCCTGTCATATTAAAATCTTTTTAATTGAAAACCCCTTGGTTTTAAAAATCGTATACGATTTATTTATTTAAAAAAAGATTCTCGGTCTTGTCACAAGGTTTTGTCAAACTTGTTTAGTCGTTGAGAAAATGGAATTGACTCGATAAAATTCAAGAGCGATGATTTATTATGACTTTCGAAGTGGGTTAACACAAAAACAGTGTGTTCACCGGATGATTTCTGCATTTGGTGATGAAGCCCCATCCAAAACCACAATTTATCGCTGGTTAGCTGAATTTCAACGTGGACGTGTCAAGCTCAGTGATGATCCAAGTCAAGGTGAACGTCAAGGTCGTCCAAAAACTGCAGTCACCCAAGAAAACGTTGATGCTGTGCGTAAGCTGATTGAGGAAGATCGACATGTGACATACCGCGAAATTCAGGCAACTTTAGACATTGGCATGAGTCAAATACAAATAATATTGCATGAACAATTAGGTGTAAAAAAGTTGTTTTCCCGATGGATACCGCATTCGCTCTGTGAAGAGCAAAAAGCGGCTCGAGTTACTTGGTGCGTCAGAACTCTCAAAAGATTCCACGCAGGATCCTCAAATGCTGTATACAACATCGTATTAGGTGACGAATCCTGGATATACGCGTACGAACCCGAAACAAAAAACCAATCACGAGTTTGGGTGTCCGAAAATGAGTTAAAGCCTACAAAAATTGTTCGTTCACGGAGTGTTGCAAAAAAAATGGTGGCCACGTTTGTCTCCTAAACCGGCCATGTTACGACTATTCCTCTTGAGGGACAAAGAACGGTTAATGCAGAATGGTATGCTAGCATTTGTTTGCCACAGGTCGTTTCTGAACTCCGTAAAGAGAACTGCAACCGCCGCATCATCCTCCATCACGACAATGCGAGTTCTCACGCCGCACACAGAACAAAAGTTTTTAGAGCAAGAAAACATAGAATTATTAGACCATCCGCCGTACAGCCCCGACCTAAGCCCTAATGATTTCTATACTTTCCCTAAAATAAAGAATAAATTGCGTGGACAGAGATTTTCATCACCTGAAGAAGCTGTGGACGCCTACAAAACGGCCATTTTGGAGACCCCAACTTCCGAATGGAACGGTTGCTTCAATTATTGGTTCCATCGTATGGAAAAATGTGTCAAATTTCGCGGAGAATACTTCAAAAAGCAATAAATACATTTTTAAATAGTAATGTTGTGTCACTTCCTTGTTTCCCGAAATTTTCAGTGCCGCCCTCGTATGTTAAAAACGATATATTACATTTGATAACCATTAATATTACGTTACTACAAAGATATAGAAACCTATATTCAGTATTTGAAACAAAATCAACAAAAGTTCTGGAGCACTAAACAAATAAGTTATTGCACCGGCACAATTCCGCGTTAAAATAAAATGCCAAAATTAAGTCTCATGTTGTCATATCGAAAGCAATGCTGTCAATTAGTTATTGTATTTTCATCCAAAACATGACATCTCGAAAAACGTTACGTTTTCCGTGTTAATCGTAATTTTGTACACCCCTGATGGCAAATTTAACACCCGTTGGTAAAGTTGCCAGACTTGACTGTACATATACATCTATAGGATTTAGCTTGCGAAGAATGAGATAGAATACAATATACAGTGTTTCGTATTATCTACGTACTATATTTACCATAATAAGCCACTAGTGTCATTTGTTGAAATTGAGAAAATTTACACTGAAATGGATTTGTAAAAAAAAACCTTCACTTAATACAAAAATTAATTTTATTCAATTAATACTCAATTTACGAGAAAACTATCCATCATTAACGGAAACTTAAACAAATAACATTACGGAACGAAAAATAATTAACATCATACATAGGATACATAACTACATTAAAGCTATCTGTTGAGACAACATTACATACATTGCATTCATACAAAATATTTATGATACACATATTAAATTTCTTTCACCTATCTTCAATTTGATGACATACACAATTATATACAAACATGTCTTTTCTTTTTCATATTTTAAAGTGCATAACATAAAAGTTTAAAATTACTCCTTTGATATGGTACATAGTCCTTGGGAGTCCAATGATATCTACGATTTTTTCTGCCACCAGGGCGGCGACACTAGAAAGTGAGGTATAATATTTGACAGATTTCAAAGCGGTGAAGTTAATTTGTTCGGAAAATGTAAAAGTTATTGTTTGTTTTTGTACTATTAGCTATATTTTATATTAATAACATTAATAAAGCATTCATAAACCAAACCACCGATATTCATGAATGTAGAAAAATTCAAAAAAAATGTTAAATATGTGCAAAAAATTAAAAAGCAAACCACTGACGCATTGTTTTGTGTATTAATATAATATTCTAGAAACTGATAAACTTTTATTAAAAACAACTTCTCAATTAAATTACATTGTGTAACAAAAAAACTTTACCTAAGTGTCAACTAGCGACATCTAGTGAGCAGAAAATTATTAACCCTTATTAAACCGAACGTCCAGCGAAAACTAAACTAACTTAGTTTATTTTAGGTCTATAACTATGCCAGGTAAGCTAGGTAAAATAGCCAAACTAACTTAGTTGTGTAGGCCTCTCGAACTAAGCTAAGCGCCTCTCACCCCCTTACCTGACACCTGTGGCGCCTTTCGCATAGTGTTGTTTGTTTTAGCTTATTTTTCTATGGACGTGCAACGATTTTTCAGGTTAGTTTAGCTTAGTTCACTGAGCCTAGTTTTCACATGGTTTAGTTCGCGGTGGACGTCAGGCTTTAATGTTTCCAGAGTGCTTTGAAACACTCTTCACAAGGTTGATTGTGACAAAGATGTATTAGGATAATAAAGTTAATACAAAATCATTAGTAACATTTCAACATCTCATTATTTTTTTGGGGTATATTTATCTGTATGTTTACAGTACACATTTGATGAAATAATACTATTATTAGGCATTTTATGGTTTTACTTACTTTATATATTTTAAATTTTAGTTGTTTATGGTACCTAATGTTCTTAACATCATTTATATTTATATAAATATATTATACCTAACATAAGATCTTGTGTTCTTATATTTTTCTTACACCAATCATAACTGTTATTCTCTTTAAATCTGTTTATATAGAGTAAATTTTATATTTCATAACTTACGGTAACTTTATATGGTTTAAATTTAATTGGCTTACAAAATATATATAAATATAGCAAAAAAATAATACAAAACATCTTTTTAATCAAAAACGACGTCCTTTTTTATTGAGCTATTCAAATTTATTAAAATAAAAACATTCTAACATATAATCCATTGTTGTTGAATGAAATTTAATGAAAATATTATTATATAGTCCGACCAGGAAAATAAAAACCAATTTTATTCACCGGCATAGTGTAAAACACTTAGTGTAATGTACAATCCATCAAGTCCATAAATGTCAGTGAACCAGGTTGATATTTTTATTTCCTTGTTTCATTTAAACCATGTAGTGGCAGGGTATGAATATCCACTACTCCATATCATCTCGTAGGTGAGTTCAGCAGTGGACTTGTATAGGATGTATTGACTGAAGGAATGGGTTGATTTTTAACCCCCGACGAAAACAGAGGGGTGTTAAATGTTTGTAGTGTGTATGTGTGCATGTGTGCCTGTCTGTGGGATCATAGCTCTTCAACGGATGAACCGATTTTGTTTGAGTTTTTTATCGTTTGAAAGGTGTTTTAATCGAGAGTGTTCTTAGCTATGTTTCAAGAAATTCTGTTCAGCCGTTTGAAGATCATCAGCTCTTTTGGTTTCGGGGGTTTAGAAGTCTTTCATTTAAGTTATTTATTTTTATTTTGTAATTTTAATAGATTATCTGATTAGAACATGAAAAAAACATATCATTGTGGGTCACACTTATCCGTATTTTTCCTTTCATTCAAAGTTTAATACAGAATTAGGATTGGAGTCTTTATATTAACTACTTATTTTTTAACATAATTCACATTGCATAAATTGGAAACTGTAGTGAACTTCACAATTACTACCTATTTAATATATTATTAAAAAAAACTTTGGGGAGACTGATAATTAATGAATTAATATTAAAAAATCCGAAGTAGCAATACGCAAAATAAGTTTTAAAAAAGGATTACGAACGATTTTTGTAGACAATAATTTTACTGTTGACATAATCAAAATCACCCAAAAAAAGTAAAGTATTGCGATACCAATATTGTATAGTGGATTGAATCAATTAAATCACATGCTTTTGTTAGTCATATCAAGTACTCATTGCAGGGTTTTTATTTATTTAGACATGCTATAACTTTTAAAACGTTTGCAAGAAACATATAAAGTAAGAAAATTTAAAAATAATAATAATATGTACATAACATGTGTTAATTAAGAATTAATAATAATATAATTTTAAGCTAAGTTAACATTTTGCTGAACAATCAAAATCTCTTTTTGTAGATTACCAGATCCAATCTTGCAATTCGACATCACCTGTAAACCTTCCATCCTGAAAAAAAGTCTGGTTTGTCATTTCTTTTAAGTATATATTTATTATAATTAAGTATTTTTATTACTTGAACTCATTTTTTTTTCAAACGTTATACCCACACTAGGATTTTCTTCTGTATTGTGGAGGCAGTTTACAAACATAAATTGCAGAAGGACAAATATCCAGACCAGGAGCAACTATTTGTAGGTCATACAATTACTTGTTTCGTGCGGGATTCGAACCCGCGGCCCTCAGCGCGGCAACTCATTGCAAAGTTAATCAATTTAAATTTCATAATCGTGACCTGACACTTACTATATGGATAATCGCTTGTCAGCCTAATTCTATAAATTCTAAAAAAATATCTCGACCACAGCACTCCCTATCGAATTCTAGCATAGCTATGATCCGTAGGTGCGATAAAACAAAAAAAAATTGTGTGAGATCACATTATCATGATCGATAAATCAAGTCATTAAAGTTTCCCTGATCATTTCTATGACAGAGCCATATACTGCAGCTATATTAATTGTATAATTGTAGCACGAATGGGTGGGCACGACCGGGGAAGGACCACGCTCTCAGAGGATGCCAGCGTAAAATAACAGATTAATGCTGCTGCGTTTCTTATGGTGAGTGTAGAGAACTAGGGACCCTTTTTACTGAAAAAGAGGCATTCCATCTTAGTCATCATGGGTGACTACGCATCTGCATTTTGATTCGCAAAAAGGATAGATGTAGATGTATATGGGCCACAGTAACCACTTACCATCAGGTGGACTGTGTGCTCGCTTGTAACTATATAAAAAATCACAGTTGCACCAACAATTATATAATAATAGGTTGGGGGAAAAAGTTTCTTCGTGTTTTATATAGAAATTCAAGACATTTTTATTCAGTTAGAACGCAAATCATTAGGTTTCGTTCAGTGACCTTGTGTGGTACCTAAATATCGAGCTTTTTTGTAAAGCCAGACTTTTTTAAAACTGTTTTGTTGTCAATCCTCAATTCCTAGGCTATGTCGTAACTGCTATTATACCGATCTTACTCCACTTTTTCAAAAATGGTATCTACCTTATCCGTATGAGGGCAACCAGAGCGAGCTGCATCTTTGACATCAAAATTCCCGGACTGAAAACGTTTGAACCAACTTTGTGCTACTCTTACTGACACACTGCGTTAAGTCCATAAACGTCACAAATTTTTTTCGCGGCTCGCGGAGTCGCATTTATTCCTTTTTTGTAATAAAACTTCAGAATGTATAGAATTACATCGTTAGATTCACTCACTTTGACACAGAGAAAAACAATTTAAAAATAGCGGGAAAGTGTTTTTTACTTTTTATTTTTCTTTTTGTTAATGTCCTATATGTATTGATATTAAAAATAGCCAAATACAAACAGTACAACCAAAGATATTTTTCTTCAATTTTATACAAACAAAATACGAAGAAACTTTTTCCCGTCTTATAAGGATACAAATACTCACTCGCTCATCTTGTCACATTCATCACCATCAACGTCGACTTCACACCGAATGCACTGCTCAGAACAGTTTACTATAACAGTGCTGTCCAACTTTACGTGCGAACCTGAATACATCTGAACTCCTACCCCGCACTTCCGCAATGTACATTTCCTTAGCTCCATCTGAAAATTTTAATGTATGATATAAATATTTACCACCATGGGCGTTGCTAGCACTTTCATAGCCGGGCATGGGAGAACACAGACATTCTCGTCACAGCTTCATGTTGTACCAGAGGAGTGGGGGCAATCAAAACACACCTGGACTAGAAAACTGTTAGATCCAATAAAACACCGTAATTTAGATAAATACGTGTATTGTGCTAGGTAGCAAAACTAATGACAAACAGGTTGACTTAACTAACATTATTTCTTAACAATGTTATGCAAGTAGCCCCCAAGTAGCAAGTAGCTACAGTAGAGGTTCAAGAATAGTTGTTCAGTGCGATGAACCTTTGTAAAGCTAGATGGCTTGCAGAATGTGAAGACTGCAGACAATATCTGCTCGGGAGCGAATGAATGGTGTACTTGAGGATGATGACGAAGGTTTTGAAGTTTTAGTTTCCGAAGGTTATTGGTTGCGTGTTCATATCACGTCGGCGTCACCAGTATGGCGGGTGGAAGGAAAAGGGGAGATCTCCCGCCGGGCAAGGTGTTCTGCCCGGGGGAGCGGCCAACGCTCCGAGTGGTAGTTCGGAGCTATTCTATATATACTGCTTTAATTTCGGAACTTTGTTAGCGCGATTTAGGCTTCGATGCGTTTCGCTTGTGGCGCGACGACAGCGCCGCCACACTTTGTGAGGTATGAACCTCTCGTAAACGTTATAGAAGCCTAAAAATGCTTGTTACTGCTGTATATTTTTAGGTTCCGGAGTTTTAAGAATCGATTCAATCTTGCTCTGAGCTGGATGAATACCATGCGCATCGATCACAAAACCTAAAAACTCCACGCGTCTTTTAGCAAATTTACATTTGTGTTTATTCAGACCACACACCACCAGTGCTATTTCAAGACGTTGAGTCATTTCTGTCAATGTGCGGCCGCTGATGATGATGTCATCAATCAGCACGGCTACATACCAGGCGTTGAAATATTCCCGGACAGGCCTTCACGACGAATGCCAATCTGTGTACGGCGTACAATCCTTTGCATGTATTCAAAGTTAAAAGCTTCGCTGTGGCGTCTGTGACCACCACTTGCGTATATGCTCTATCTAAATCAAGTATCGTGTAATAAGAGCCACCTGTAATAACTGCAAAGACTTCACTAGCGGTGGGCATTGGGTACGTATCTGACTCAGTAGCTTGATTTAGCGTACTTCGATAGTCTCCATTTTTCTTTACTATAGGAACTACTGGTGTCGCCCATTCTGAAAAACATAAGGGGCGAAGTACCCCCTCCCCCACTAAACCATCGATTTCCTTTTCAATCCTTTCTTTTAACGCGAAAGGCACTGGTCAAGCTTTTAAAAATTTAGGAACAGTATTAGGCTTAATTTGTATGTTTACATACAAATTAAGCCTAATACTGTTCCTATATGTACCAAGCCCTTCTCTGAGAACAGTATTTTATTTATTAAGTACTTTATCAATATCTGTAAAATCAATGTCAATCATATGAATAGTATTTAAAGTAATATCCAATGCTTTAAACCAGTTTCGACCTAATAGATTTGGGCCCGTGCCCTTAGCTATAACAACATTCAAATTACACTTAATGTCTTTTGCACTTGTACTGTAGCCTGTCCCATTACTTGTACCGGAGAGTTGTTCCACGTACGTAACTTGTTAGGCATTATGTCTAGTATAGTTCTAGGTTGTTATCGCCATTCAAGATTGAGAAACAGACCCAGAGTCCACCTCCATGATCACTGGCATACCATCCAATAGAAGTTTTATTCTATACGCCGGTACCCATGAAGCCAAACTATCCAAATTATAAATTCTGTTAAGATGTGTGTCTGGCAATGTAAATTAAATTATACACAAGAGTTGTGTATAATATGTAATTATACACAACTCTTGTGTATAATTTACATTGCCCCTACGGCTATTCTTTTTAGCTGAGCAAATTTTTTCAATGTGTCCCTTTTTCTTGCAAAAATTACAAACAGCAATTATAAAACGACACATCGCCACATCGGTAACAAAATATAATATTAGTTTGCGATTTCACGGCATTGACATCCATCGGTTCGCATGATGATGATGTTACCGCTGCAGTAGTGGAAATTAAAGCCCTGGAGACAGGAAAGTTAGTGCTGGTCACACTATGCATCATCCGGACATCCCTCACTGCACTTTCAGATGATAGCATGCCATCCACCACATCCGAATACTGTAAATTGTCTTTTTTCAACAATTCATACTGTAACTTCTTATCACTCCAAGTCCGTAAAATTGCACACTGTACTTATTTTTCTAATATGTGTGATATATTCTGATACTGATTCATTTTCTTTTAAAATTGAAAAGACACTGAAATCTCGTTTGGTTTCGGACTATAATGATTTATAACGAAAGCAAACTTAGAAGAATAATGATATTTCTTTTCATCGGTAAGTAATATTTTGATAAGAAAACACCGATTTTAACTAAATTAATTAGGGTGTTGCGAGAGGCGCGCGGCCGGGTCGACACAGCATGTGCTCCCGTGCTCCCCCGCATTAGGCTGTCCTCTAATAAGAGCTAGTGCTGCACCACGTTGCACACGAATACTTTGTTATAACATGGTTTCTTTCGTAATAATAATATGATCATATTATTATTAGAAATTAAGATTCTTTGTATTACAAGCCCACATAGATCAACGTCTAAAATAAAACTCTTGAATTGCTTTGTTATTTATGTACATAATAAAGTTAAACACGGTTAAAATACTTTTCTGATTTCAAATTTCGAAAAATAGACGTTGCCGCGCCACTGTCATACAGTTAACCAGAGATTAATTACATTTTTTTTTTTATTTAATTACTAATTTGTTTATAAAAAGTTTCATTTTATTTTTAAAACACTACATTATTAAATTAAGTATTAGTTATAGTCGAATTACTAGATTGTGTTAATATTATGTCTTTCTCTCGTTCTTAATTATTTGTCCAGCTTCCCATATATTCCAGCTATTGCGACCTATAATTAAATGACAGTAAATTGAGCAGTACAAATTATTTATAAATTTCTTTCTCGATTATGTTAATCTTGTAAATGTACTAACTGGCAGTATAGCAAATATTTTCTACCAACTTCAAAAAGGAGGGGCTCCTCAATTCGACTGTATGTTCTTTCTTTATATGTGTGTTACCCACGGAGCAAATACAAAGAGGAGACGGCCTAAACAACTGTGCGCTGTGTGTGTGATTCTAACATAGGTCCTGACGTCATCACAGTGGGCGTGGCTTTAGTTAGTATACTGTCAGCGTTCGTCCTGTTCGCTTATGTGTCGAAAATCGCAAATCAGTGTATTTTCGTAGTATTAAAAAGAAAAGGATGAAGAGTTGTGTTTTATCGTGTAGAAACTACTCAGATGGACGCTCTGATGCTATGGATTACATCACATTTCATTTTTAAGTAATTTTACACCTAATTTATTAAAATAAAATAGTTCTAGAAAAATCTCTACATCGTTTTTCAAATATAATTAAATATATTCGAGACTAGATGGCGACACTGTGTCATGGGAACTAAAAATATAAAAGTACATAAAGCTCAGTATTGCCAAAATAATCATACGACGGTGCTGAATTTTGTTTTACATTCAGTCTAAAAGAATTTTTAATCGCCAAAATATTATTTTTGTAGTTTTTGTTTTTTTTTAAAAAATCGTTATCCCCACACTAGGACTTTTCTCCTGTATCGTGGAGGCAGTTTACAAACACAAATTGCACAAGGGCAAACATCCAAACCCGGAACAATTATTTCTTTTAATTTATTTTTTTTAGTTTTTAGCTTTTAGTTTTTTATATTTTATATAATCATTTTGTAAAAAGGCCGCCATCTATCGTCAAGGTAACTAAACTACATTGCAACATCGATATGGAACGATGCGAGTAGTTTTACCATTTATCGGTAGATGGAAAATAGTTAAGTGGGCAGGGCTTAACACCCTCTCAGGGTCGGGAAGGGGCGTCCCTTGCCGACCCTGCCATTCAGACGAAGGTTTATCGACCAAATCGGCGATACATTGAAAATGGGCCAGATTCGGAGTACCCTTAACAGACGAGCGTGTATGCGTAGATATATGGATGTAAAGGAGGCGAGAGAGGTGTGTCAGGATCGCGCCAAACGGAAGTCCGTAGTCTCTGCATACCCCTCTGGGTGACAGGAGTGAGTGTTTGTGTTGTTATGTGTTGTTATTACCAGTATAAGAAGTAGGAAGAATATTACCTGTGCACCTCTGTGAATAACAATTCCAGAATAAAAGTTCTCGAATGTACAGTCTTCTATAATGACTTTGGCTCCAGCCATCGCCACAATGCCTTGAGCAAAATCACTCTAGAGGAAAGAAATTAGCTGATTAGGATATTATATCTACATAGAATAATACTTCATTATTTTAAGCCTTTAAAAAAGACAATTTCTCTGGTCTGAGATGAAGGGCCGTCAATGACGGCTGCTCCTGGCTGGGCTTTAGCTTTAGAGCCCGGTTGTGTTGGTGGATACAAAAAAAAATTTCGTAAATTTAAAATAGGCGGTCTTAATTGTACACAATATTTTTTGTGTTATCTCGTATTTAATTCTTCTTACTGTGTTCCGTGAATGTTTTATAACGTAAAGTTGTTACTGTGACTGATCTAAGAATATTGTATAACTTTTTAATTTATATTTTGTTGTATAATAAATTTCTTTAGTGAGAAATAGTTCATGCTACATGTTAATGTTTTGGTACTTATAGATATCCACTAACCTGGGAACTGTTTGACTCATCAGCAAACATGCAGTTTTTAATATGGAGTGTTCCTGTTCGCATCACAATGATTGTGTTTACTTGTGAGCAGTGCAGAGTTAAATTTTGTATTCTACAGTCTTCACTGAGCATTAACAAACAAGATCTCATATCCGTTGCCCTAAGTGTAGCACCTGTAATAATAATTAATACCTTTGTATGAATGTCTCATGTTATAAAATATTTCCTGAACATTGCAATAATATAAAAATAAAAATACTTTTTATCTTTTAACACTTTCACTATCCGGTTTCCAGACACAATAGCAAGACAATAGCAGTGACCTATATGTAGTGCACGGGACAGCGAAAGGGTTAATCTTGTATCAATAATTCAGATTTTATATAATTGGATTAAGTATTTGTATGGCCTACAGATAATTGTTCCAGTTCTTGAAGTTTGTCCCTGTGAAATTTATGTATGTAAACTGCCTCCATGATACAAGAGAAAATCCTAGTGTGGGCAAATTCTGGCGAGGGTGGGAAAAAAAACTTGTCCAAATTTCAAGTCACGGTGATTTGTTTAGAAAATATCAAATCGAATTTATAAAATATGATAAATCGAAAGTCAGTTTTATAGACTTATGGAAATATAAATTAATGTTTCCATATATATTATTTTTATTTTTCTTAATTCTATGATGCTTCATATAATTTAAATCATGTTATGTGGATAATAAGAGATCAATAACAATTACAGTAACAGTTGCCGTATAGCAGCAGCGAAGGATATCTACTGCCCCATATAAACCAGTGGGTGTCTTAAAAGGCAACAAAGGAAAACTGAGCCAGAAAGAGAATAGAAAACTAAAAGAAAAAATTGCCAACCCACTTTCCAAGCTCGGCAACTATGGCAAATATCCTCGCAATGAGTCTATGTGGGTGGTCTATGTTCTACAGTGGACTTGTGATGGGCTGTAGTGATAGTAGGAAGAAATACAGTGTAACAAAATTTTTGTATAGAATTATTCTGATTGCATATTTTTATTTATACTTTATAATGGGTAGTAAGCTATTAGTTTATTTATAGAAATGTTTTAGACAAAAGATATAATAATACCAAGTAAATCCTAAGAGGAGAGACTCACCATTAAAACTACAGATGGAAATTTGTGATAATGGCATCTCTGGCAGCTCATATTGTTGACTACAGACTACTACTTCCTCTGGTTCTAAGATGAAGCCATCTTCAGCAGAAACCACAACTGTCAGATTGTGCTCTTTGGTGAGATATGAGTGAAGGTATTTTGATATTTCGTTAAATTCGGACACTGAGCCCCCTTGCCAGAGTGCAACAACCTAAAAGATTTATTATAATATATTAATGTTAATCTACACTAACATAAGCAACCCATGTGTATTATCTATGAAGCAAACCAGTGATGGCCCAAGTGATAATCAATCACATTATGTCCCAAAGAATCATGCCACACATTTTAGTAACATGGAGCAATCAAATGATGCACCTATCACATGTAAGTTAAAAAATTTAAATCTATACAAATAATTAAAATTGAATGTGTTTTTATTTGTAATGTTAAAATAACAGCTTTTTACTATATGCTTATGAAAGTATGCACTACTAATAACAAAAAAATAATTTTTAATATTTTTGTCTGTCTGTCTGTCTGTCTGTTTGTTCCGGCTAATCTCCGAAACGGCTGGACCGATTTTGACGGGAATTTCACTGTCAAATGGGTTGTTATAAGGAGTAACTTAGAATACTTATATTTTAGAAAAAAAATTGGGGTTCTGCGCAAAAAAAAAATTAAAACCCATGAAATCGTAGTAAATTCCACGCGGGCGAAGTCGCGAGCAACAGCTAGTTCTAAATATATTTGATATTAGTGATACTCACATTCCTTTTGCTCTTATTTTTCTGCCATTTATTTTTTGTTTTAGTTAAGTATTGTTTTCTAATCAGTGGGTTTTCATAAAGGGTCCATTTAGACATCAGACCATCCAAGCGCGCATTCATTTCGGCACATACTGACAGGTAGTTTGGAGGAAGCAGTGAATCTAAAAAATAAAGAAATTTCGAAAAATTATATGCATTATTAAAATCTTTTAACAAAATTTCAATTTATTCAGAAAATAATTCATCTTAACATCTTCAAGTGATAATGTATGTAACATACATAATTCTCATGCCTGTCACCCTGGTAGGCAGAGACTATGGACTTCCATTTAGCATGATCCTGACACATCTCTCAATCACTTCCTTCACATTCATACACATATTATATGCTTGTTATTTAAGGGTACTCCTAAATTAGGCAATCTTAAATGTATTGCCAAATTGGACATAATGATGGTGGATGGATACACATAAACACACAAGCACATATAAACACCTACGTACACACACATGCGCGCGCGCGCGCAACAAAGTACTTGATCACGAATTATTTATTATTAAGATTATTTTTTTCATTATTTAAGAAGAAATAAATTATTGGTAATAAGCTTATAATATAAGGCCATGGTAGCGTGTGACCTCCTGCCACAAGTATTTTAAATACTTAAAAGGAGGTGTTACGGCCTACAGCTGCCCCTGCAAAGTCGAATATCCCGGGGAGCGGAAGATTCAACGAGCAGCCGCAGGTCGGGCCCAATGGCCACATGGAAGAATGTCCTATCATACTAAACTATATGGGAGAATGCTAGGGAAATATAGTAATAGTTAATAAGATAATAGAAAATATAGTTCAAAATGACCAATTTTGGGCATAAACAGGAGGACTCAACTATAACACTGTTTCAATTTACAATGTACTTATTACCCAATAAATATTATTATTATTATTGCTGTATGTGCACAGGTAGTACACCATGTGTTAAAAACATGAAGTTTCCATAAAATATTGTTTTAACTTAGAACAGTTTGTGTATTCAATTAAAAAAACTTTTTTTCATTGGGGCTAAAGGAGACAGTTTTTTTTGTAAGGAGAATGGGCCCACCACAAATTTTAGGGAAACTTAATGAAATGCATGTCGATTTATTTTATTATAATCTATAGATTACAACAAAGTAATATTAGTTTAACCGTGTCTAACGGGAATACTGAGAAATTAGTAAATAAAATATGAATCTTACTATTACCTAAAAACAAACTAAAAGCGATTGTTTATTAGTTTTCATCGGGTTTATAAGTAAAAAAAAAATAGTGCACTATTCAATAAATAATAGTATAAAACAAAGTCGTAGTTACATTCGGCATTTATTACCCATAAGATTGATGGAAAATCCTTTTAGTAGTACTGGCAAAATATAATTCCTGTCTGTGCACAAATTTGGTATGGATACTACTTTTTTTACATGTATTGATTGTGAGTATACATCTCAAATACCATTTAAGTAATATGATTAAAATCAAGATGAGTCAGGGATAATATGTACATTTATAATATTACCTACACACGCTATATAGTAAGAAAGATGTTTTGAACTGGTTGTGTAAGGATAAAAACACAAATTATAATGCATATACATTTATTATAGTAAATCATAATTTCCAAAGTTAATTAATAGAATCAGGCGTTACTTTGCGGAAACCCATTATAATGGGGTTGTTATAAATTAATTTGCTTAATTCCGCGTAAAGAAACAAAATGATGTGTCCTGCCAAGTTTTAAGGGGACCTCCCACCCTCCCTCAATCGCTCGCACTATATCCATCGCCGTCAATCCCAGCACTACCACACTAGGCACAACACACTACTCTCGAAAATACGACACGTGTTTAGCCTCTACACGAGGCATCCTCAGGTGAAGTAGACTCTGCGGAGGCTGCCGGCTAAGTGAGCGGCGAGCCGAAACGACTGATATTTATACTACTTGCTAACGCAACCGCGCTCCAATTACGTAGAAAGCGATTACGTCATGCGATCAATCACCACCTGACGTACGCAGATCTTTGCTGTGAAATTAACAATAGACTACTACGATACGTCCGCCTACCCTCCAACCACGCAACCAATCGCTGGCTACCGCACCGTGTCGGTGATAAACGACCATGTTGCGAGGCTGTATATCATCAAGGAGCAGGCTTAAACATGTTTAAGAGAGGCGAGTTGGAAACATTTGTTTGTTCATTAAGCAGTGCAACGTTACCGCTATTATTTTTTAATATCTCTCACGGTTCTAGCGCGCGCGCACACGCACACGCGCACGCACACGCACACGCACACGCACACGCACACGCACACGCGCACACACACACACACACACACACACACACACACACACACACACACACACACACACACGTCTTTTCCACAAATGTCCCATCCCCAGACTGTTTGAGGTATACTCATTGAGATATACGTTTATTAAAGAGTATCGCAGATCTGTTTAATAAACGTCGTCTACATCCCGGGGAAACAAATGATCTTCTAATCTTAACCTCTCTGTGTATGAAACAAAACTATTTCCGGTTTAATAACCACTTCTATCTACAAAAAGAAGGGCTAGCCATGGGTTCCCCTCTAAGTCCTATTATGGCGGACATTTTTATGGATAATTTTGAAAAACAACACATAGTAGTCATCAAAATATCTTATACTATTATCGATATGTAGACGACATAATTATTTGCTGGACTGGCACAAAGAGGCAACTGGATATTTTTCTTAATAAAATTAATAAAATCCACAACAAAATTAAATTAAAGCTTGAATTGGAACAAGCTTGTGTCCTTAATTTTCTCGACTTAACAATAACAAGAATCTATCTAATATGGTTGGCATGAATTCAGGATCCATGTCTGGACTACCAAATAAGCCATTTAGCATTGTCAAGTTAAATGGTGCAACTTGCTGAATACATAAGGTAGGTACCTTAATGCAGTTAAATGAATCGCTTTTCAAAGCCTATGAAGCTACATCAAATAGAGAAGCTTCCTTAAATCCCTTGACTCCAGTTTTCTTTTAACATACACCAAAACATGTTTTGTGTATTTATTCTATCTAATATGTAATTTAGATTTTACTAATGACATGAAACTTTAATGCATTGTCACTTGTTTTAGGTAATTCAACACAAATCATAGATTTTCTAAAATTCTATGTGGAAAATTAAACTCATATATTACATACATATATGTAGAAGAGAAATACATAATTTGGAATATTAATATTTGGTTAACCTGCATGATATTATCCATATTATGATATGAATATAATGTGTATCCATGTATCCATACACACACTTGTGCATCGATGAGACGATATTTTATTGTCTTGTAATGTAAAAAAACAAGTATAAACTGTATAAACTTTTTGATTTTAATACCAAAAAAGTATATAACCATTAACCACAGACTTTATTCTTACACTAGTGATGCAACTCGAACTCTGTTTTCACTCGATTCAATCGAGTGAATTTGTGTAACTCGGTACTTGAGTGAAAATAAATTTTACTCGAGTCCACTTGCACTCGAGTTACCGAGTCAACTCGGCGCACCGCGTGTAGATTCGGAGAGCGATAGATAGATGTCAGTTCACTAATTCACTTGTAGTATAAGGCGCCGCGAGTGACGTTACTGGTTACATCCAAATTCAAACTTGGATCTGGCATGTTGTATTCAAATAAGAACTTAGTTTGATTTATAATATCGTGATTATAATATCATTGTTGTTTATTTTTTGTTACTTCATATAAGTAGTGCATAGCATAAAACGTGATTTAAACATACTTGTTTGTTTAAAGTATGGGCTTAGCTTTCCATTGACTCCCATCGAGTTGGGGGTTGATACGTATTTTTACAGAAAAGTTACACTATTATAAGCACACACACAAAGTTACAACATGCGGAAGTGCGCGCCTGAATTTCGCGGTATGTCACATGTCGATCTTCCTCAATCAGCTTACACACAGCATCAACGTTTTCTTGGGTGACTGCAGTTTTTGGACGACCTTGACGGGGATCATCACTGAGCTTGACACGTCCACGTTGAAATTCAGCAAACCAGCGATAAATTGTGGTTTTGGATGGGGCTTCATCACCAAATACAGAAATCATCCGGTCAACACACTGTTTTTGTGTTAAACCACTTCGAAAGTCATAATAAATCATCGCTCTTGAATTTTCTCAAGTCAATTCCATTTTCTCAACGACTAAACAAGTTTGATAAAACCTTGTGATAAGACCTAGAATCTTTTTTTAAATGGTATTCGATTTTTAAAACCAAGGAATTTTCAATTAAAAAGATTTTAATATGACAGGAACAGTGGAAATATTCTATTCCCGATACTTTTAGTGCAGCCCTCGTATTCGAATAACTCAAAAACTCGAGTACAACTAGTATGACGTGATAAAACCCGAGTGACTCGAGTCACAAAATTCTACTCGAGTCGCATCTTTGTCTTACGGTCAATGCAGTGTCTGTCTACAATTTAGTGATGAGCTCGACTTACTAATTCGAGCGATTTATTGATATATCATGTAATGTCAATAAGCTGATTAAGTATAATTCGTGATCGTTAAATTATTAATGCCGTCAAAAACATAACTTGTAAAAAGACCAAGTCTCGCAACTCAGTTCTTCTACCGTAAAAAGTTGTGAGATCCATGTCTCAACATCCAAGTCGGTTAATTTATTCAGTCCCTACTTAAGGGTCCTTCTGTCTTAAGTTATTACGTAATTAGCTAACCTAACAACATCTTATAGTGACCAATTCAATATTAAAAATCTTTTGTTTTAAAAAAAATAGACTGACTTGGCCATCGTATGAAAACAATGTATCTCACAAGAAATACATATTATATTAAATTAGATTGTTTAGTGCGATTGCCAATTCAGGCTTCTAGTTCTATCTACAACGAAGTTATAGGGGGGCTCGAAAATGGCCTGAACTGCTTCGAGAAAAGGATGGTACGGCCGTGCCGCTTTTTTGCTCGACTTGGCGGGGGCACTGCCGTGCGCCCAGATAACATTAACTTTATGCTACGTCATACAGTTAGAGTGATATTATTTTATGAAGAATGTCGATGTGATGATAATATATATACTACTACTACTACTATACAATAACATATAACTACCTATTAAGTTAAGTAATATTAATAATTATCTTGGATGAAAGAACAAATATAAAAATAATTTGTAACAAACTGACACAGCTTCGCTCCGCCAATTCGAGTTGGGCAACTCGAGTACTATTCGAGTTATGTAAATTTCAACTCACGTTAACTCGAGTCGAGTTTCTTCCGAGTTGACACATCTCTACTACAATTTTTTCTTAATATTACATTATCTGAATCAGTGACATGAACATCAGATTTCATGATTCCGTTTAGATTTTCATAAAATCTTTATGCTATTTACAAAAATAAATTGATTTTTTTTTGTATATGGATGGAGGGTAGCGTAAAATTTCTAGTAGGCCCAAAAACGATTGATTCCTTTGGCATTTTAATTTTCTCATAGAAATTAATAATTAATACATTGATGAAATATTTTATGAAGATTATTGCTATTATGCCATGTGGTGGAAGCTTAACAAAATCCATCACACCAATGAGGGCATCCACGACTTTATCTGCCACCAGGGCGGCGCCACTTTACAGTGAGGTAAAATATTTGACAGATTTCATAGCAGGGATGATAATTTCTTAGACAAATGTAATCTTTAAGGTTTCTTTCTGTATTATTAGTTATATTTTATATTAATTACATTAGAAATGAATAAACCAAACTATAAATATAACTAAAAGCGACTTTTTTAAAAAAAAGAGCAAAAAATTAAAAATCAAACAACTGACGCATAGTGTTGTATATTAATATAATACTCTTAGATAATGATGAACAATTAATATCTCAATTAACTGAAACTGTGTAACAAAAAAACTACTTCAGTCACAACTAGCGATATCTGGTGAGTGGAAAATTATTAGCCCTCATTCATACCTGAGTGTTGTAAGATACAACTAGTGGTAAATGCAAGAGGGATATTGTGATCAATAGATGGCGGTACATGCATTGTTAAAAATTCTTTAGGTATTTTTTATAGGATAGGGTGACAAACAAGCACACAGTCCACCTGACGTTAAGTGGTTCCTGTGGCCCATAGATATCTACATTTATCATCATTTGCGAATTTAGTTATCACCCGTGACGACTAAGATGGAATGCCTCTCTTCTTCCAGTAAAAAGGGTCTCCGGTTCTTTACACTCACCATACAATACTCAGCAGTTTTAAGCTGCTATTTTACACTGGTATTCTACGAGAGTGTGGTCCTTCCCTGGTCGAGCCGACCCATTTGTGCTACAACTATACTACTAATATAGCTGCAGCATGGCTCTACCACATATAAAATATAAACAAACTAAAGATACGAGACCTCTGGTACTGCACCTGCCAATTCGCTAGCCAAGCATTGTTATTTAGGCAAATCCTGCCTTAGGATGCAAAGATTCAACAGTGGATACAAGTCCAAGGCTGATGAAATACAACAATTCTATTAACATATCTTCATTGGAAATTTTAATTTTCTACAAACTAGCAGAAAAAATTTAAATTTAAACCAAATATTAATTAATAATTATTCATACCATCATCATCTGCTAATATTCCATCACAAAGAGAAGAATCAAGCTCTTTTAGTTTTTCATGAGCATCAATGGCACTATTTCGTAACAGGACTATAGATCGAGCCACACAGTTTGGTATTGTTCCATTGTGAATATCAGTCCAGAGACTCATCCGATCTTCTATTGTGCTTGGAAGCAGAACTTTATCATCTTGATCATCCCAAGGCATCCATATATTATGATAAAAGAATCTAAAATTTAAACACCATCCTATAAATCTTATTGCAGCAACTGCATGTATTCATGACACAATGCAGTTTTGCCAAGATCACCAATCATACATATTATCATTATTATTATACATTATACATAAGTTACATAAAACTCAAAAACTGTGGTTGCCTATTCACCTGCAAGTGTAGCAATTACGTCATAATGCCGTATGAAGCAATCTATGGGGGTGGCCTATGTTCAACAGTGTACTTTTGTAGGCTACAAAAGGCAGCCTGTGCTAAAGTTACAAGCTTAAATTTTAATGTCTTAATATCCATTACCCCATTTCCCATGACTGACCTATTAATTTTCGATTTTATTTTGTTTTGGTACTGGTTGTTCTGAAATGATTCATTAGCAAAGTATTGATAGCTCTATAAATATTCACAATTTGTGTATGAACATTGTCTAATACTTATCTGAAAATACAATACCAAATATGCATTTTTATTAAATCAAATTTTGATGTTGTACATAGAGCAACACATAGTAATAAAGTACATACCTTAAAAGATCAATAAATTCTGCAGTAAAAGCTGCATTAACACATTGCTCTCGCTGTTTGAGAGTAGGCCAGAGTTCGATTAATGGAACATCTACAACTCTCTCTGGTAAAGTTACAGCTGCATGTTGTACACTTAGAACATCCACACACGCTGCCAGTTCTTCATAATCAACAGATGTAACAGTTACATATGCAACACATGGAAACCTTACTTCTGAAATAATTCATAAACGTTATTAAAAAAAAAATATTTTACACACAAGATATAAATAAATTTCGTTTTTTAAATCATCTAATTATTAATATTAAAATTTTAACTCAGATTTAAGGTATATGTTATATGTATGTATATTATACAGGGTTATTTTTCAAGGAATATCCAAATTTTATATTTAACTTCAAATATATAAATAATGTACTTTTATTTGAAATTATCCCAAATTGAATGTGATGTATGGGCAATAACTATGTTGTGTGCAACTCGATTCACAACGTTCGTGCAGTGTGCATGCATAGTAAAATAGTAGGCGTTAGATATTTACGAATGACAATCAGTCAAACTAATGCATTACTACGCATTTTGAATTTAAAAGCTAAAAAGGACAAAAGTTTCGAGATTTTGTTTACTAATTTTTCTTTACCATTCTCCTAAATTACTAATTCTGAACCTTCTCTGCAAATTTGGGCATATATTACAAAAATACAAAATAAGATTTTTACATTAAACAGACATGATTGTAAAGTAAAATAATAATTACATTTTAAACATTCATAATTAGTCATTTATTTTATAGATGGGTTAGTGATCAAGCACTTGCTTATAATAATAGTTATAAAAAAAATACAGTTTGTAAAAACTTTGCCAAAGTGGCTTATATTTTTTATGTCTTTTAATTGGTTATTTGTCTTTTATTTGTTTTTCTATAATTCAATTATAGAAAGAAAAACAAAAGATAAGCAAAACTATAAAGCTCACTTTTCACTATAGGTTATAATATATCTTATATCCTGAGATATAAATTATATCCCATGAATGGCTTTCACACTGTATATATATCTTTTAACTAGTGTGTGTTTGTCATTGGATTACCCACTGTACTCCGCACATCATTCTGTGGTGGTGTGGAATGGTGTGCGGAGTACAGGCGGTGAGATATAATATGAAAATATCACTTGGTCAATTGAAAAATTATTTATAGTATGAGATGTAATATATCTCAGTGTAAACGGTTCAATTAAAAAGTACAGTGAGCGATATTAATTTATATCTCGAGATATAATATATATTACATTATATCCCATAGTGAAAAGCAGGCTTTAGGGTTTAATTACATACTTCAAATTGCATTGATGCAGGGATTCAAAACCCTATTTTAAAAAAGTGGTACAGCCTGGTTGACAAACCTTTTCACATGAATTAATATGATAGTAGAAAAGTTATGGTAATTGTATTACATTGTTGAAAGGAAGTAATCCGTAAATCACAAACTTCATAAGAAACTACTAAAGGTAAGAGTATTTAAGAGAAATGTAAGAGAAACAAGCTTTGACTGTGATATATAATTAACAATTCCTACCAAACTTTTTGCAATAATCTTTGGATAATTTCCACAGTGCATCCCAACCAACAGGTTCAACTAAAAGTTCAGCTTGCATACTCCATTGTTCACGGGCCGTACCACGACCCGAGCTGAAAACTCGCAACAATTCTTGACGGATTTCACTATCGCTTCGGTTAAATGAATACACAGATTGCATCTGAAAAATACATTTCAAATAGTTCTATAACTGCGATAGAAGAAAAGTAATCGGGAAGAGAAATCCAAAATGCGAATGGTTTACATTACATACGTTTTAATAATATTATATTATATACCTCTACGTACCTTTTTAATTCATAAACTGCCGATAGACAGCAGATTTTAAATGTTTTAATATTAACTGATTCTAAAAAGAAAATGTAAATGATAAAATGTGATGTTGAGTTTATTTTGACCGTTCTAACAAAAGTTTAATTTTAAATTTTAAATTTTTTTTGTGTTGCCACAATTTATTTTAATAACTGGCTTTACGGCTCTGGGTTCTAGCACTTCTGAGCCTAAAATTACAATGTTTAATAAGTCACATCAACATGTTCTAATTTGACAATAAAACCTATACAGCTTTAAAGCTATATTTCTGAAAATAACAATAATTTTTTTCATCCAAATTGGTGCAGAAATACGAAAGTTATAACGTTTTAAAGTTGCGCATTTTTTTTAAATGTTTACCCGCTCGTTCTCCGTGACGTGACGTCGCAATCCGACAGAGCAAACGCGCAGTAGGTACTTGCTAAGTTCAGTACTAACCACGCTCGCGCGCTTAAAATTTGACTTAAATATGAATGTAAACTTAATAATTTAAGTAAGGAAATGAATGAATGAATGAATATGCTTTTATTGTACAGCGCGAACAAATATACAAACGACATAACAAAAAGCAGATGATATGTACAATGGTGTAAATGTAAAGGGTTCCAAATGTGAGTGCCAGCTAAGTCGTTGGTCCAACATTATACCTAGATATTTAGTTTGGCTGACTTTTTCAATAGTAGGGCAGTCGAAAATCAGGTTACCAGGGTTAGAGCAAGTGTGGATTTTTATGGCAAAGTTATGGTCAGGTTGGGATTTGTTAGAAGGAGTGAAGCAGATGTAGTTTGTTTTCTGGGTGTTCAAGGTAAGAAGGTTGTCTCTGAGCTAATTAGGTACATTGATTAAACCCTTTTCAGTACCTGCTTGGACAGTATTCCAGGTGCTACCAGTAAAAACAAGAGCGGTGTCGTCCGCGTAGGAGTATATCCTGCCCCTGACATCCCGTAGATTACATAGATCATTTATGTATATTAAAAAGAGAGTCGGGCCCAGGACACTACCCTGCGGGACTCCAAAACTAGGCGTGGCTTTATCACTGTGTAAATTATTTATTTTTACTTGCTGAGTTCTGTCTTGCAGGTAATTTTTAAAAAGCAAGAGTGGAGTATCCCTAATACCTATGCATTCTAGCCTGTGTAAAAGAATAGGCACAGAGACGGTGTCGAAGGCCTTTTTTAAGTCCAAAAAGACTGTAAGACATTTGCTGCCATTGTCTACTTCACGAGCTATAGTAAAAGTGAGATCAAGCATCGCATCTTGAATTGAAAGACCCTTTCTAAAATCATATTGGGAATTTGCTAGTAATTTAAATTTATTTAGGAAATCAACTAATCTATTGTTAAGCAGCTTTTCAATTATTTTGGAGATGGAGGTAAGGACAGAGATAGGCCTGTAATTGCTTACATCCTCTCTGCCCCCACTCTTATGCACAGGGGTTACCATAGACCTCTTTAAGACGCTGGGGAAAATACCAGTACTAAAGCAAAGGTTTGCGAGGTTACATATGTGCGGTGCAACAAAGGCTCTAGCATGCTTTAGAAAACTAGTGCTGATACCAACCATCATCAAGATGCCCTCGACTTCTTTTTCGTCAGTGTTTAGCAGGACGAAGGATGAGGTCTGTGTATAATTAGAGATAGGGGCTACTAGTACGCGACTTCTAGTACCTGAATTTGTAGCAATTATTTCAGCTAAGTTATTTCCTATACAAGCAAAATAATTATTGACATAATTAACCGAATCTAGTGGTAGCGGTTTTAAGTTAATTAGGACTACATTATTAGATTTGGGTGGTTTGTATCAAGTGATCTCATTTACTGTATTCCAGAATTTACGGGTTATTAGCAGATTTATTAATAAGTTTGCCATAATGCTGTCGTTTAAGTTTTTTGATGAGGTTGGAACAGAAATTTCGAAAACGTTTGTAAGTAACCTTTTGTTCCAAATTATTTCTTAGCTTATGCACCTCAGAGCTCCGGGGGTATCCAGGGTTTTAATATCCTTTTATTGTTAGAAAAGTAGGATAATTTAGAGTTTTGTTGGATAGCTGACTTAGTTATATTAATAAAAGAGTTGGTAAATTCTTTAGGGCTATTCGGCATTTCCGAAAAGGGGATACTCGTCGATATAAGAGTATTATACGCCCCATCAAAATCTGTAATTAGCTTGGACTTAGTTGGAGCTTTGTGGGTAGATGTTTTAGATAACTGAAGCAACACAAGATTGTGGTCTGTCATCGTCGTGTTAAGGACGGCAATAAAAGCTGCAATGAGGTTGACTTCAAGTTTTATCATTACGTGGACGAGGCAGGATCTCCTACTCGTAGGTAGAGTGTGACCAGGCAATAAGCCATGCAGGGATAGTGCGTCTAAGTAGCTGAGTCTATTACGGCGATACTGAGGCTTCTCTGTAGCTATGGGAAGCAGGTTAATATTTATGTCACCTATGACAGACACATTTTTATGATGACTAATAGTTTCCAGATGTAAATCGAGGGAGCTAGTAAAACTATCGGCGTTTAGAAAAGAGGGGGAGCGGTATATACCCAGAAAAACATAGTTATCAATCTCTTATTTGTATCCCAGTAGCGTCTGTGAGGTGAAGGTCAATAACTTTAGCTCGGTGATTGTTTTTTATATAAGCTAAACTTGTGGTAATCAGTTAAATAAGATTGCTCTGTTTAAAGGCCGATATGTTGTTTATGAGGCATGCTTCATGTTTATATTCTTTCATTTGTCCGTGAAAAGTAATAATAAACTTATTAACATTTTAGGTGCATGATTTTCAGGTGGTTTGTACGGATGGGCCGGCTCGAACCGGGGTGGTACTACGACCTCACAGAATACCATCGTGAAGTAGAGGTTTACCTCTGCGTTTCGCTTAGTGAGTGCAGGTGGCCGGAGGCCCGTTTTACTGGAAATGAGGCATTCCATCTTAGTCCTCACGGGTGACAACGCATCTGCATTTTGATTTGTAATAGACGATAGATGTAGTTGTCTATGGGCCGCAGCAACCAGTAACGCCTCTACTGCGTACGCGCGATGCGTGCCAGACCACTAGGACATAGCGACTAAAAAGACCGCACTCATCACCTACCGAACGCTACCGCTTCCCTCCTGCTAACCCCGCGGGTTGCCGAGAAATTCGTGTTTAAAGTTTAAAATGAGTGCTGAGACACCCTATTCAGTATAAAAATGTATTTACCAAATTCATGCAAATTATCAATAACGTGACTTTTTTCTTTGCAAGATATCGAAATTAATAAAATAATTGCAAATATTCTATCATTTAAACAGTATATAACATAAATTTTAATCAAATATAGATGCGTCATAACAGTAACGACGTCTTGCGAATTTACCTGTGAAAAGTGCAACCATCAGGATTATTTCTATGATTAACATCACAGTCATTTACAGAACAAATAACCATTTTAGAAAAAAGTTAATTACTAAAAACAACCACTATTACACTCAAAAATTACAAAATATCTGGGAACTATTTCTTGCGTGCCGAATTGCGCCGACCGATTCAAAGTCGGTTACAGAGTCATGAGATTAGGTATCCTTTTCTATCTTGCATTTTTGCCATAAGGAATTTTCTTTTCTCTTGCACACTATGTCGGCCTATACGCCAGTATATTCAAAGTCTATGGTTTGACGTGGCATAAGGGTGGGTCGCGAGTGTCGGACACGACTGCTAAAATTATTAGTATTCTTCGAGTAAGTAGGGTATGAGTAGGAGTAACCAGGTTTGTGAGTTTTAATTATTTATTGTTTTTTGTAATTATCAGACATTAATGTACTCAATAAAATAGTAATTTATTATAATATCCATTTCAGTTAGGTAATATGGGAAAACGCAAATAAGTCAGTTGGCATATACTGGATGATAATTTTGCGATCACTCAAAGTGCGTGTAAATTTTGGGGATTTTCTTATACTAAAGTCCTACGATGACGAGCGGGTAACGGGTTTGAGTTTGAGAAGCACGCGAAACGCCGCTTATTTTATATTAATGTTATTTTGTTTAATACATTCTTTTAATATAGATCTATTTATAAAATAATTTCTGTCATACATATTCTTTATCGAATAAAGTTTCACATGAAAAATGCATTATATATTTCTTCTACAAATAGTTGCAAGTTTAAAATTAATCACGACATTTTATGCTTGAAACAAACTTTTTAAAATATTTTTCCCAAATGTCTAATTAGTAATAACATGGTTTATAACATAAGTATTTAATAACAATGTGTATTGGAGGTGAAAGAAAATTTTAGATTGATAGAGGTGATTCTTACCACCATCCTTCACAGTTAGCTACCGTGGGTAAATCATTGTTTCAGAGAGCACGAGGGATCTGTGACAGTAAACACCTGGCCGCCGAGTTCCAACACGTCAAGCAAGTTTTGCACGACAATAAGCTTTGGGTCCCACGCCACAGTGAACGAGTGAAGCCGGCCACAGTCGAGCGAGTGCCTGCTGTACTGCCATATGTCAGAGGTGTCACTGACAAGATTGGCTACATCTTGAAGCGTGCTTCCATTAAAACACATTTCAAGCCGCCGAAGAAGATTAGTCAGTTTTTACCATCAGTCAAGTGTAATATTCCTTTGCAAGATGCAGGAGTATACAAGCTTGATTGTGAATATGGTCTCTCTTATATAGGACAAACTAAAAGATCTATAAAAACCCGCGTTAAAGAACACATAGCTGATGTGAAGAATAGACGCTCCGGGAAGTCTGCAGTCTGTGAACACGTACAGGATCACCCCCGTCACTACATTAGATTTGATAGACCACAAATCCTCGCTAAAGAACACCGATTCCTTCCAAAGATGAT